ATAATGGTCCTGTTTATGTCAGGCACAATAACATACAAACACACATCATCTCCTCCTCCTCCTCCTCTGTCTCTAACAGAGCAGCAGTGTATGTGGACTGTCCTTCTACAGCAACCCGTTCTCACTCCCGAGGCGTAAAATACTGACGATTTGTCACGTCCCTTAACTTCTCATGCTGACGCTAAAGGTAGCCTTCCACGTTTTTATGCGACGCTGTGGGTTGTCAATTCATTCCAATATGAACCCGCTCGTGGCAATCAGAGACGCTTCGAGCAGAGGCTCCAGCAATAACCCTGTCACGGCGAAACATGACGCCGTGAAGCACAATCTACCTGGAGAACTGGGGACCCTCTCCGCGAACGGGTTTTTCTCCCTAATTTAATGCTTTATTTTAATGACATCGTTAACATTTCTCAACAAAAACGCATGAAAGTATCACTGATAATTCAACAATAAAATCGCTTCATGTTGTGGCCACCCCACAGTGTTTTCCAAAGTGATTCACGATCTGAAAGTGCGCAGATTTAACGTACATAATCCTTTGTTAGGTTTATTATTTTCATTTCACACGTAAAACACATTTATAGATTCATTCACCACTCCTGTTAGTTTTGGATGCTCTCGGCTCCAACCAATCAGAGGCAACCTGTGTAAGCAAAGGATGATGGGAGAACGGAGAGACCCATTTATAAGAATAAGAAAATGAGGCGGAACTGATTGATTCTAATGCAGGTATGTAAAAAATACATATATTTAAAGTAATAGCTTGATGTGTGTTTCAAAGTTTGTTTTTCATAAAAGCTTCAAACAAACAGAGGTGACTGATCTCGGAAACGGTTTAATGCGTTTAAAAATGGCTACAGCTACCGTCAGCATGCTTGCTAGACGACTACACGTGGCTACTGCAGCATTAGCCATTTAATCCAACAATGATGGATTAAATATATTACAAACGTTAAAGGACTTGTGTGTTGCAAAATACCCTCACATGGTGCGTAAAGCAGTTTTTGCGCTAAGAGTTCTGCTAGCTCTTTA